AAAGAGAAAAATGAATCTGTCCCTCCAGACAAGGTATCTGTCTTGCATCCTTGACATGGAACTTTGTCTTTCAATTTTGGATTTGTAAACAAATTGAGAAAAAAAAAAAGGATAAAAATGGAGAAAAGGCTAGGATAAGAATATCAACAAAACAGAGGCTAATAGAGTTATGTTTTCATTTAGGATATCTAGGCTTTTTAAAGCTTAAGTGCAAGAAAAGAAAAACGATAATTGAATAAGAAATTCAAATTGACAACTAATGCCACTAACAACATGTAAAGAAAGAAAACCAACAATAACTATACGCAAATTTAAAATCCTAAATAAGTATTCCTAATAAGCAAGTTAATTCCAACACACCTCCTTGAGATTAAATTTGGTAGTAACTGAATTAGATCTCATACACATAAACTTATCATTAGACAAACTCTTAGTAATGATATCAACATATTGCTCATTTGAATAGTAGTAGTAGACTTCAATATCCAAGTTCTTCACAACTTTTCGAATTGAATGATATTTCACTCTGATGTACTTAGTGACGCATGCTGAATAGGATTTTTGGCTAATGCAATAGTCAATTGATTGTCAATCCAAAGAACAATAGGATTTTGTTGTGGCTTTCCCAAATCAAGCTGTATCGTCCTTAACCATATAGCTTGGTTGGTAGCTGATGATACTGAGATAGACTCAGCTTTTGCAGATGATAGTGCCACCAGCTCCTATTTTTTAGAATGCCATGAAAAAACTCCACTTCCAAATGAGAATACAAAACCAAAGGTGCTCTTTGAGTCATCAATATTGCTTGCCCAGTCACTATCAACATATCCTGTTAGTTCACTGCTTGACGTTTTGGAAAGCTTGATTCAATAATCAATGCTTCCTTTGATGTACCTTAATATCTGTTTTGCTGTAGAGAGATGATTCATGGTTGGTGATTGCATGAATTTAGACATTAAGCTATCATTAAACATTATTTTAGCCTTGGAAGTTGTTAAGTATAGTAAACTACCAATAAGGCTTCTGTAGTATATAACATCTGCAGCACCTGAGCCATCTTTTTTTATTAACTTAAGATGTGCAGCTAATGGAGTGGATGCAAGCTTGCATTCACTCATCCTAAACTTCTTTAGTAGATTGGAAGTATACTTCCTTTGGTGGATAAAATTCCACTCATTTGATTGAATAATTTCCACTTTAAGAAAATAGGTCATTAACCTCAAATTTGTCATCTCGAATTCTTTCATGATTTCTTGTTTGAATCTAGCCATAAGTTAGCTATCTGGACCTGTAAGAAGTACATCATCCATATAAATGGGGACTACAATTTGCTATTGGAAACTAGAATCTCTTATGTACAATGTTGGTTCGTTGTCATTATGGATGAAACCCTTTTGGCACAAGTAGGCATTGATTCACCCATACCAAGCTCGAGGAGCTTGCTTCAAGCCATAAAGTGCCTTGTTTAACATACAAACCATGCCTTTTTTTTCAAGTTCTATGAGGCCTTATGGTTGCTCAATAGAAACATCTTTTTCAAGTATGCCATTTAGAAAAGTTGATTTCATCTAAGTGCCATAGCTACCACCTTTCTTTAGCTGCAAGTGCAACTAATAATTTGACAATGTCATGTCTTGCAATAAAGGCAAAAGTATCAATATAATCAACACCATATTCTTGAGTAAAGCCCTTAACTACTAATTGAGTTTTTAACTTATTGACAGTGCCTTCAGGATTTACTTTGGTCCTAAAGACTTACTTAACCTTAATTACTTTGTGAGTGGTTGGTTTTTGAACAAGTTGCCATGTGCTATTTTGTTTTATCATCTTTAGCTCAATTTGCATTACCTTTCTCCAATCATCAGATATGAAGGCTTTATCAAATGATGAAGGTTCAATCATGGCCACATGACATCTTTGATATATTTCTTGAAGGCTTCTTGTTCCTCGAATAGGTATGTCATCCACATATTTTTCTTTTATTGATTTAGCTAGTGCAGTTTCACATTCATCAATAATTCTCAAGTCATCTAACAACTTAATTTCCTTGGAGGTCCAATTCCATATTTTGTTTTCTACACTAAGTCTGAGCTGGATGGTGACTCTAAGCTCTTCATCAAGCTTTAATCTTTTACATTTTGGAATATGTGCAAAAGCCATACATCTAAATACCTTGCAACTACTCATTGATGGTTTAACACCATACAACGGCTCATGTGGAGTCTCATTTGCAAGAGCTTTAGTTCGAATGATATTTAACAGATCATTTATAGTGTTAATTGCCTTTGCCTAGAACATTTATGGTAGTTTCTTATCAAAAATTAAACATCTAGCCATCTTAAACAAAGTCTTATTATTTCTTTCAGCAATTTCATTTTGTTATGGATTGTAGGGAATTGTGAGCTGGTGCTTTGTCCCACACTTAACAAAGTATCTTTCAAACTAATTAGAGACATATTCACCTCTATTGTCTATTCTATGTGCCTTAATTGATTTTCTAGCTTGCTTTTCAATAAACACAATGAACTTAATAAAGCAATTAAACACCTCAGACTTTTGCTTAAGAAAATAAACCCAGCTAAATCTAGATTTATCATCAATGAAAGAGAAATAGTACTTACTGTTGTTGAATGATTGCTCAGAGAAAGAACATCCTACGTCTGAGTGCACTAACTCTAACTTGTCAGTAGCTTCCATGTGTTTTATTTTGGAAAAGCTTTTTTGGTTTGTTTCCCATACTTACATGTTTCACATACTTTTCCTATCTTGATCATGCTAGGGAGACCTTTAACTAGATTTGATGATGTCATTATCAAGGACTACGCCTTCTTCGCTTAAGTACTTGATAGTCCATGTGACGCTTGGGTGGATGTTTCCACTTAAGAAGCTAATTGCTTGATTTTATCTAAACAACATGAATAATAACCATAAATTAAGTCATGGAAAGTAATATTAAAATCAAAAGGTATACCAAATGCTATATATGCAACCACCGATATTATGTAAAAGAAACTATTTTATTAATATTGCAAATAAGTACAAAGGGACTAAAAGAAGGAACGTTCCATTATCAAGTCATAGGGGTAGCCCTGGATGGTTAGCCATAGACGCACCTAAACTAGTGGGACAGTCCAGTAATTCACCGACTACTTATCCCTATAAAGGGTTTGTAAGATTTTACAAGTATTTCACCATAGCCATTACAATGCCTGAGATATGTACATTCTTTTCCTAAAGAGTTTCCCCTATAAAGACTTAACAAGTATTTTTAGATATGTCACCAATGGCCATTACAATATTTGAAAGGGGGGGACATCTCCCTTAGAGGTATAAAAGACTCATTTTCTTAATGAATTCTACCTTGTCATAGCCTTACAAAGTTAGCTCATGGCATCTTCCCCCATTCAAACTATCGACGTTCTTGTTGACTGGTTAGCTTGGAATTATTCAACTTTTACTTGAAGGAATAGAAGTCGGCTTCATTCTCCCAAAGATTTCATCCGGCCCTAAACCTTCCTATCTCACTAGAGACTTTTGTGTTAGTCATCGGTTCATTATCGTTGTCTTCCTTACCAAAATCTTTTTTACTCCGATTGTGATGGTGGCTTGTTTTTGAAGGTAGCTTCGTCGCTTGACCCCTGCTTGCATTTGTTGGATTTACATGGAATGACTTCAAGTTGCGGACATGAAACACAGGTGTTCCTTCATCCACCTGGTCAGATCAATCCTATAAGAAGTTTTTCCTACTTTTGCCATAATTGGTACTAAGCCTTCATATTTTTGCACTAGTCTTTGGTCTTTGTTCCTTAAGAATCGAAGTTGTTTGGGTACCAACCACACTAGCACCAAGACTCCCGCCTTAAAGTGTTACTCCTTTCGACTTTTATCTGCCAACTTATTCATGCAATTGAAGGCTTCCTCTAAATAGGCTTTGGTGATCTCAGTGTTTAGTTTCGATCCTTTGCAAAGTTGAATGCTTAAGGACTTTTCTCATTATATGATTCTATTGAGGTATGGGGAAATCTAGTTTGTTGTCTAGTTCGTCTGTATAAAGCATAGCAAATATTCTTCTAGCAACCCATTGAAGCATTGTGTTTGGCCATCTGTTTATGGGTGGTAACTGAAAGATATGTTGAGTTCTGACCCTAATAGCTTGAAAAGTTCTTTCAAGAAGAAACCAGTAAATCTTGGATCCCTATCACTGATAATGCTTTTAGGAACACTTTAGTATTTTACCACATGTTTAAAAATTGTACAAGTCATGTTTCTACGAAACTAAACTTCTACATTGGGATGAACCTTGTGTACTTGGAGAAACAGTCCACCACTACCAAGATCGCTGTCATATCTCCTCTTTTAGGAAGACTTACTATGATGTCCAGAGAAACACTTTCCCACAGTTTGGTTGGCATTGGTAGAGGTTCAAGCATTCCCTTTGAACTCTCCTTGTTCACTTTGTCTTGTTAGTAAATGAGGCACGTCTTAGTATAATCCATCACATATTGCTGCATATAAGGCCAACAGTAACCTTATTTCAGTAATGTAACAGTTTGCTGTTAACTTGGGTGTCTTACCCAAAAGGTGTTGTGATATTCTCACGTCAACTTCTGTCTCAGCTCTCCCACTCTTGAAATTAAGATGGGTGGTATTTTTGTTAGTAAGAGTCCATTTTCACGCAAAAGTATTTTGATTTTCCACTCTCAAACAACTTCATAACAACGACTGCTTGGGGATTTTGATGCGAGTTTTCTTCCATAAGATTACGGATATTTGTCGTCTCTTTACTAGTTGTCATTAACGCGATTACTCTAAGAGTTTCAAACTTAACCTTTCTAATTAGGGTGTCTGCTACATAATCGGTGCTTCTGGTTTTGTAGGTCCTTTATGTTTTGTGCTCAAAGGAGAAATCAAATTCAGTTAAGAACTTTTTCCATCTTGCTTGCTTAGCTGTGAGTTTTGGCTATGAGTGAAAGTGGCTTATACCGGTGTTGTCAGTCTTAAGCTTGTCCCACGTCTCCTTGGCTGTCTCATAGGCTATTATGTGAGTAAAGATGGAATTTAAAACTATCGAGTGTATACAAGAGAGTGCCTTGTATCTTTTAACAACTTCATCATTATGTTGCTTGATTTGTGCAACAGTAAGATCTCTCCTTAATTCCATTGGCTCACTCTCAGTTTCTATAACTTCCCACAAATCGAAAACTCTCAAGTAAGCTTTCATGTTAGCACTCCATATAGGAAAGTTTGCACCTATGAAAATAAGTGGTGAAGGTGAACTGAAGTTGAAGGAGGCCATTGAGTTTTATTTATTGGTATCAGGTTTCACAGGTTTGAGCTTGGTTTTTCTTTGTTTTGAGGGTAAAAGGAAAAACAAAAGAAGTTTCATAGATCCCTTGAGATCCTTGGGAGCTTTGATACCATATAAACAAATTGAAAAGGGAAAGGATAAAAATTGAGAAAAGGCTTAGGATAAGAATATTAGCAAAACAAAGGCTAATAGAGTTATGTTTTCATTCAAGACATCTTGGCTTTTTAAATTTCAAGTACAAGAGAGAAGAACCATAATTGAACAAGAAATTCAAACTGACAACCAATGCCACAAACAACATGTAAAGAAAGAAAACCAACAATAATTGTCTGCCTATTTAAAATCATAAATAAGTACAAGTTAATTCTAACAGGATTTATTGTTTCTCCATTGACGTAACCAAATATTATTCATCATGTCTGATTCAACAAGCTTCTCTGATTTCTTGTTGCTGATCTGCTTTGCATGGATTTGCGTCCTCCAATGAGCTGACCTTTAACTCTATATCTACTTCTTGCTGCATTTCAACATCCTTGTTTGCATTCTTGTATGTGACATAAAGGATCATTTGAGCTATTCCAAACAAAAATCCCAACACATTTGGCAACTGAACATACAAATACCATAAATGTATTTTCGATGTTAGTCTGCTGAAGTAAAAAGAATTGATGTTTTCTTTAAAAGAAATCCTGTTTAATGTATGAATGACTTACTGCAATGAAGAAATCCATCATGAAGAGTCCATAGAAGAACCACATCGTGGCGCACAACGTGAGGGAAAGGGAAAGAGAAAATGGCATGTGTTCCACACTTTTAGTCCTTACGACATGTCTCTGTAATTAACAAATTATGATCCTTTTCGTCAACTAATGAGAGTAAGATTGTCATAGAAATCGACCAATAGACTTATCACCCGAAGCGCTCAGGATTTATCAAGACAAGTGAGATTCCTTGTGTTATAAGTTTGAAAAAACAAAGAAAGGAAACTGTTGTTGTAGCTACAAACCATAATGCTTAAAGGAGAAGCAAATACGGCAACATTGTAAACAGCACAGATCCATCCCATGACAGCCACACGTTTGGACCCTTCTGTTAATAAATTGGTGAGTAACATGATCAAGCCATAGCCTCCCATGTTGAACAGCAGTATGAACTTCATTGTTGAAACCTGCAAGTTCCGAAACAAATGAATCTTTTCAATACCAAAACAAATTTTGTTTCGAGTTTCATCATGATTTGCATGTAACAAACGTTACCTTGTCCCTCTTAGGAGCATATATAACGTATAAAACTAGATAGAGAATTTCTATAGCACATCCTATGACGTTGATGGTGATGATCAGAACCGCATTCGTCTTAAGTATACCATAGTACAGTAACATCATTGCACTGGAAAGTGCAACAATATAAGGAATTGAATGGTAACCTTCAGCACTTTTTTTCTTGCAAATTTGATAGAAAGTTGGCCTGACGGGGAGAGGAGATGGAGATATTAGCAATGTTCCCAAGATTCATGAGCAAAACATAAATGTAAGGCTGTCAAGAAACAGATCAAGACTCTTACACTGGTGCCAAGAACACCAAGAACGAAACAATGTTACCTACATAAAACAAGAAACAAAGGACGATCATGCACACTATGTAAGAGCAAAAATGAATAAGCTAAAGGTATTTACGGGGTACGGAATACTCCGTTGCAATGTTTTAAGCCAAATTTCTTATCGTGCTTATACCTAAGAGACCAAATATGAAAGCCAGCTGATGATGAGGTGTCAAGAATCCCATTCTAGAATTGCAGTTGATTACGTGAAAAGACTGAAACAATGGATATGACACCTCTTTCTCACCAAGGATCAACTTAAGTCCCAACACTCCTCAATCCCATCATTTATATAACCACAGGAACCGTGGAAATTATTGTAGTTTGACTCCCCCAGTGATGGTGATGGTGCTAAGGTTTTAGTTTTAAAGAGATAAAAAAAAATTTGATATTTAAGAGGTAAAATTATAAAATTTATTAAAAAAATTATAAATATGTAAAAAAAAAATATTATAAATGTTTGTAACTTTTGCGGGGCCCTACTAGCACCCCCTCCCTCCGCCTCTGGGCTTCCCCTAATTTTATTGAACAGTCTAGCTCTAACACCTGCCGACATTAGGAAATTTATATAATTCGTGGCCGTGATAATGCCAGGTAAAAGAGTAGGCTACGTGGGTTGCCGCCACCCTAGGCAATTGTAAGTCCCATGAGTCACCCTTCTCTCAGCCGTAACAAAAGTTAAAATTCTGTTTTGGCCTCCTGCCCTTTACAAAATTTGTACATTAATATGATAAATTTTGTTACCTGCGAACTTCATTCGCAATTCGGAACATCTTTACAATCCCCAGCAAGTAATTAACTATTTAATCAGAAGAACGTGGGGTGATGAGTCCATTTTCAGTTTATTGATTGGAAAATGCAAAGCAGATTAGCCACTCAAATACTTACAACATGGAGGCCTTTTGTCTTGTATACCAAAAAAAGAGAAAAATAAAACTTTTGTGTCATTGCTTGCTGGTTAAATGTTCATTGCCGTTTGTACTAGAAACAGTACGAGATTTATTAGCTCTATCGCAAATCTAATCTAGTCAAGAACTTCAAACCTCGAACCAACGATTTTATTTCCTAACCACATAAAATTTGAAACTTAACATGACTTATTAAATAATTGTAATGAACCAAAAATTCCATTTTTTGATATGTTAAACGTGATTAAAAACATTAAAAAAGATTTCAAAACGTGTATCACTATTATTTTTCCTAAGATTTTAGCCGATTGTGGATCTTAACAAGAATATATGGAGAAAAGGTTTGTGGGTACCAATGGAGATCAACTCCATTTTCAGTAAATTGATTAGACCTCTCAAATGCATATAACATCAATGCTCGTCTTGTATACCAAAAAAAGAGCTAGCGGTTAGAGCTCAAAGCCTCTAAATACTGCTTTTCATGGCATGGGATTAAATGTTTCTTTGCGGTTTGTGACACAGAAAAAGTTGGAGATCTATTAGCTCTATAATTGTATTAAAAAATGAGGCAGGATCCAATGTGAAATCTTTATCTTAATATCTAACTTACACAAAGCTTCAAATCCTTTTCTTTTCCAATGGTTTTTTTTTTTCATTTTGTATCAACTCTTTCCTGATTACATGTTTGTTGTGACATTGATCCAATATTTTTTGCATCAAACCGACAAACATATTTTTATTTAATAGTTAAAGTAACAGTTCGCAGACAATCATTAATTTTATTTTATCAATTTAATTTTTCTAAATTTAGATGATTAATTGATATATATTTTAAAATTTAATTATGATTAGTATAACCAATATTTCAGAACTCGAATCTTGACGTAACTTATCATCTTAATCATAATGAATGAAAAATTAATAGAAGGGATTTCAACCTATACACGTCATGTATTTTAGTTTCAAAAATTTATTGAGAAATTAACTTTTGGACCGGCCTAAGTTTGGTCGGACCGTACAAATCTTGTTCCAAGCCTAACTTAATTATGGATGGATCCTGTTCCTTGAAGCCGAACAGGAAGTGCCCTTGAATTTGAGGGCTGGGCTTCTCGAGATTTGAAAATTACCAATTAATGTGTGAGTTTTATAGCTAAATTATTAATAATTTAATTTGGATGGCACAATTTTATATAATGTGAACTACTTCTTGAAAGTAAGTTAATTAGGAGATAATGTTTGCTTCTTTTAATTGTGTTTCATTAATTTGATTAAAATGAAATTAAAATCACATAGATTAAGGTGTTAACCTTAAAATATTAACTACAACTTTCTCTCATACACATGAATCTTACATTTATAAGACATAGGGTGGATTTTGGGTATATAAACATAAACCTTTCATCATCTGTCAAGCATATCTTTTAAGTTGAAAATGTGAATCTGTGACAAATGGTATTAGAGTAAATTTAAATTTTCATTGATGTGAGGTCCTCATTGACATAGTGAGTTGGGGTGAAAACAAAAACTATTACTTGATAGAGTCTTTAAAGTTGATAATCAAGTTTCAAATACAAAAACTTAAACTCAAAATTTGAAAAGAACATAATATTATTTAATAATTCTAAAAAAATTTATTTAATAAGAATGCTATTTATAATAGATTAACCTTACTTGACATGCAACTAAATTTAAATAAGCAAGCATTCTACCCTTCTAAAGTACAAGGAAAAGTAAATTTCTAAACCTAAACTTACTTGTTGTCCAAGTAAATTAAAATAAAAAGAAAATTCTATTATATCTATAATTCTTAATAGAACTCTTAACAAAATAAAAAAAATACTAAAATTACAGACATGTTTATTTAAGACTTTTGGCTTTCGTTTTGACTTTTGACGCTTGTTTGCTTTAAGAAGTCATCTACTAAACTATCTACGTCAGTTCCCTCCACTTTAAAAAAACTCGACTTCAAGTTAACTTGTATATCTGGATAAATAGGTAAATATTTACCATATTAAATGTTTTGAAAATTCTCATTGTGTCTATTAGATCCACAACATGTGCATTATCATTAATCTTTTTCAAAACTTAGTGTGGTCCATATTTCTGAGGCTGCAACTTACTCTAAGTCTCCACTAGAAACCTTTTTTTTTCTCACAAAAACACCATCACTTGATCTTTTATTTCAAAATTTTGCTTTTTGCAATGTTGTTCTACAGCTTTCTTGTACTCGGCATTAACTTGCTTTAATTTGTCTTTCACCTCTGTTAGAACATCTTGCAACTGATTAGCTATGGTTTCAATAGCTACACTAAATTCAAGAATTTTGGGTAGCTTGATCAAGTCAAGAGCATGCTGTGGTGACTTTGTGTACACAATGGAAAATGGAGATTTTCCTGTAGCACTATGAACAACACTATTATAAGCAAACTTTGCTTGTGCCAATACAAAGTACCATTGCTTCGATCTATCTCCACAAATACTATAA